CAGGCTCCATGGATGGTTCTTCTGTTCCATGTGGCGTTGACGGCGGTCACTCAGCAGGATTCAGCCAGCAGATGTGCTCGTCTGGAGGATCCAATGTCTGTGCCTTGGCAGGGAGGCTGGAAGGCTGGACTCAGCTGGGACTGCCAGTCAGCTCACCTCCCCAAGGCCTCGCTAGCATGGCCGCTCGGGGGTAGTCAGACTTCCTGCACAGTGGCCCGGGGCTCCAGAGAGAGTGTCCCAGGAAACCCAGGCAGAAGCCGCAGGGCATCTTATGACCCAGCTTCAGAAGTTCCTGACTGCCACGTTTGTCCAAAACCTCCTGGTAAGCAAGTCACCAAGGTCAAGCCAGAATGAAGGCTCAGGAAGTGTTTAAGCTCACAGGCTTGCCTGGCCAGTGTTGAGCATCGACCTATGTCACAGTTCAATTCCCGGTCAGGGCCCATACCCGGGTTGGGGGCTCGATCCCCAGTGTTGGGGGTGCAGGAGGCAGCCTATCAATGATTCTCTCTCTCTCCCTTCCTCTCTGAAATCAATACAAATATATTAAAAAATAAACTCTGTGAGCCTTGGTGTTCATTCATATCTGTAGGATGGGAATATTAATAATAGCATGACCTCTTATGGCTTATGAGAATGAAATGATTGTTTATGTCTCATGTCAACACCTGCTGTGGGAAGGCCTGCTTATGCTCACCAATATTTGCAGTTTCCTCTTCTTCCTGGGCACCCTGCTAGACTACATTTCCCAGCCTCCCCTGTGGCTAGGTGTGACCATAGACTGAGTCCAGGCCATGGAACTGCAAGAGAAGTGATCTATCTGGCCTCTTATATCCCCTCCATCTTCACTCCCCCCACATCCCATCAACCTGTGTTGTGAGGGAGAAATAAAGTTTTGTTTGTCAGAGCCATTAGCTACCCTGATGTGCACTGGTACATACTAAACTCTCAGTTGAAGTTAGCTGCTGTCTGCTCTAACCTCTCTCTGCACCATTGACCCACACCGGCCAGGCAAGATGTTTCTAATTTTAAAAATTAGTCAATTTGTTTTTATTTTTTAAATTAGAAAATAATTTTTAAAAAGATAAAACGCATATTCCCACACACAAAAAGATAAACGCATATTCCCACAACTCAATGTGATCAAATCTTAACATTTTGCTATATTTGATTTGTGTTTTTTTCCTAAAGAAATAAAGCATTATGGATGAAACTGAAAAGAAAAGAAAAAAAGGACATGATGCATCGAAAGCACTTAGCATAGTGCCTGGCATATGCAAAGCAGTCAGAAATGGTCAGTAATTCCTTTAAAGTTTTATTTTGAAATATGTTTACAGTTACAGAGAGTTTTAAATCCAGTGGAGACATTTCTTGTATACCCATCACCCAGCTTTCTCTAATGTTAACTTCTTACTTAACCATGGTGTAGTTATCAAAGAAATTAAAATTAGTGTAACGCTATTAGCTAACCACAGATTTATTTCAGATTGCACCAGTTTTTCTACTTGTGTCCTTTTTCTGTCCCAGAATCCAATCCAGAATACCATGTTGCATTTAGGTCAGCTAACTTTTTATCATTCATTCATTCAACTACCAACGATTAGTCCAAGACTGGTGTTCTGAGTAGCAGACAATGCCAGGAGGCCCCTGTACTATGTACTATGACAATAATCACAGATCTCATTTTTGAAAGCTTGCCACATGTTGTACAAAGAACTTTCTATCTTCCCAACTTAATTCTTACAACAATCCTATAAGTTGGTTATTATTACTCCCACTTTGCAAATGGGGAAACAGAGGTGTGGAGAGATTAACTGAGGTCACGCACCTGGTAGAGGGCAGAGGTCGGATTTGAATCCAGGTAATTTGCCCAAAGTCATGCTCCTGACAATACCCCATGCCTTTCATGAGGCTGCTCTAGAAAAGAGGGGAAGTCGATGCATCAGCACAGACTTTCTGGGGCAAGTGTAGCAGGCAGGAAGGCTTCCTGGTGGAGGGACCCGTCAGGAGTTCAACCTCTGTTTCCTGGGGTATTCTGAAAAATGTTTGGCTCTCTCACCACCTGCTTTCTCAGGGCTTCCCTCCCTCTTTCCCCTGGAGCCCTAGACTAAGCCTAACCCTCAGATCCCCAAGAAGGTGACCTGCAGAAACTCAAGCCCCAGGGTGTGGCTCTGCCTCAGCCTCTGGGCATCCTACCTCAGCCGGCAGAGGCAGGTGGCTCACACTCAGAGACCCAGATGTTAATTTAGAGCCACTATTTTGGTTCCCGCTGACAGTGCATGAGCAAGAAATAGCAACAAGGGCTGAGGTGTCAGGCACAGGGGGGATCCAAGAGAATTGGGGTGGGCAGATTGGGCTGCCAAGTGGGGACTAGCTTTGTCTGCTCTGGATAATTATGGCCTCAACAACCTGAGGACGAACTGAGAATTATTTTTAGTCCCTCGGCTGGAGAGGGACTCTGCCTGGTTGGGCACAGCAGCAACAGCCCTTCGGCCATCTTCCAGCTTTGGAAAAGGCCCAGAGAGCACCCAACAGCCAGCTGGGACCAGGGCCAACCAAATGCTGCAGGGAAGAGAGCAGAGGAGCTGACTGAACAGTACCTGCCCTTTGAGGCCAGAGCCCAGAGAGCCTAGATCCAGGACGAAGTATTTCAGTCCCATTTCATCTTCTCTGAGCTCTGTTGTCATCTGTAAATGGGGGTATCTTCCCTACATCCAGATCAGGCAGCCTG